GAGTGCACAGGGGAAATAAAAGTGTAAGTGAATATTAAGCAATATTGCACGGGATCTATCATCACCCTGCCATCTCATTTGTTTTCTTACAGAAGACTCTTGGGTTATTAGGTCTGTCCTATTTTAAGAAGCTGTTGTTAGAACTCCAGTATAAGCAGAAATGACCAGTGTGGCTGAATAAGAGCAGCAGCTTTCCTGCTGTGGGCAGTTGTACACTAAAGAAATTCTATAATGAAAAGTGGACATCATTTGCTTCCCTAGAAAATTAGTGGGCAGGATTCTTTAAAGAGATGAACTTTAAATGATGAAACAACAGTCTTTACTGAAGGCAAAATCTCATCATCATGTACTACACTTGAAAAAAGGCCCAGCTAAAGGCCTGAAAGGGTTGCAATGTCAGTAATGTAATTCTCAGACTAATCTGCTATCTGATTAACTTCAGCTTCAAAGAGGCAGGAAACACCGCAGGTTTTCTCAGTACTGTGACCTTTTTCTTCCTTTCCTTGTCTTTTTTTTTCCTTTTCTATCCTGAAAATACATCATTAAAATTTATGTATATATTAAACCCTTTATATCAGGCCCATGTGGAAACCTTCATCAAAGTGATCAGAAAGGGTTTTCAGAGGCCATTCTCCACCACCACAGATGGAAGAGATTAATTTCAAATGAGTTAAGCCACAAATTGCACCCCAACTGCAGAGAAAGGTTATCTGACTTAGGGTAAATTTGATGTTGATGCTCAAAGCAGTTGATCTGTTGAATCTTGAGCACAGAAGCAAAATATATTTACCATATTGTCAGGCAGTGAAAATCAGAATATTAGCAACTACAACCAGAGATTTCCTGCTTTCCCTTTAATACTCTCTCAGGAGTTTCAGCAATAGAAAATTTACATCCTCATGTTTCAAAATGCAATCCCTACTATCAGCCTCTCAGATTAATTTAGGTTCTACATTCATTCATCATCATGACTGAGAGGATGTCAGAAGATTTCAGCTCTGTGATATTTGGAAGCTACTTCACAATGTACATCTGAAACTCTGTAGAGTATGCAACATGTAGAGTATGCAACAGGTTCAGAGGAAAGCAGATAAGTATATTGTGACATGGGTTTAATTAGTGTAAATTTGCATATGGGAAGGTTTCAGTGTGAAAATATCAAAACACAGTAGTGCCTTGGAAACGGGCTCATCAGAACACTGAAAAAAAATCAAAATAAGAGAAAACAAAATTGACTTAAACAAAAATTAACAAAATTGAGTCAAGGACTTCCAATTTCCTTTTGGTGGGCTGCAACTCAGGATACCTGTGCTGAGGGTCCAGCATTAACACAGGCTCCCTCCCTGCCTGAGTTTGACATGATGGGAAAGAGCCTTTAAATAATACTACTAATAATTTTAATGAGCTTTGGATCACCTCTGGATGAGCCTTTTCCAACAGAGAAGTTCATTGAGATTTGAATCTATGAGAAAGTCTTAAATCCATCTAAATTTGCAAGTGTCAAAGGTTGCATGATCACAGCTTATTTACACAGTGTGATATGAGTCCTCATATTTACCCAGACAGAGATCTCACTTGATTTGAAGCAGCAGCAGGTAGGGACAAATTAGTTTATTACTCTGGATAATTTATCTTCCCGTGAGACCACCTCTTTAATTCACAGCCAGAACAGCCCAGACTAAATAAACGAGCAGAGTCTAAACTGCAAACCTCAAAGAAGGGAAGGATGCTTCTCTGAAGCTGAGGAGGGCTGGAGGATGGATCCTTATCTCAGGTTCCTGCTGCAGCTTAGAGCTACCACACAGGTGGAGCAGCTCTTCACAGTCTGTTTTTACAGTTCTCAGTACAGAGATATGCCAGCTTGCATAGAGGCATAATTTTAGCACCCTGATAGCAGCAGAGTCCTTTTTCTATTTGCCCTCTCTCTTTATGCGTGAAGAAAAAAAAATCAGGGTAAATGTATCTGTTTCCTTTTAATGATTATGAAAATAATGTAAAGGACTCACAGAAATACAGACAGAGCCTCAAGTCAGATGCCTTTATGCCAGCAAAGTTCCCCAGACATTAAAAGAATCCTAGGATATATTCCAACATAATTTTACTTTCTTTCTTTCTAAAGATTGTTATTTAGTTCTCTATTTGTACAGCAACTAAGACTGTAGAGTCCATGTGTAGAACTGCTAAACTCAGCATAATTATTTCTACCCAAAAAGTAAAAAAAATCTTTAATCAAAACCTAAGAGCTTGACAGAATTCAAACTCTCTTTCAGTAACTCTAATTAATTTTCATCCTCAATCAAACCTGAAACATATATGAAATCTGCTGGGTTTTTGGCCCAGAATATCTTTCAGGCAGTTTGTGTCTGGAGAATCTCTCTTGTTGCACTCCAAGCCTGCAGATTACCTATTTCTCATTCAAATGGCTTTCTCAGTGTTAAATAATTTCCCTGCCTGCAAATCAAAATTCTGAATCCCCTGTAGCTGTAGAGTCTGTTAAGAGCAATGGCCTGGGTTTGATTTTATGTCCCACCCATGTGCTCTTCATCCCAGCACTTGGAGAATTCTGTCTTTTTCAGAATTCTGTGTTCTTTTTCCCCTGTGTGTGCCTACACAGGAGCTCTCTGACACATGAGGAGAGGCTGAGAGAGCTGGGACTGCAGCCTTGGGAAGGGAAGGCTCTAGAGGAACTTACCCATCTATAAATACCTGAGGCAGGGGGATAAAGAAGGTAGAAGCAGGCTTTTCTCAGTGATTTCTACTGACAGGTCAAAAGGCAGTGATCACACCTGAAAAATATAAGAATTTTCATGAGCACATGAAAACACTTTTTTGTTTCTTAGTATAAGACTGACCAAATTGGGAAATGGGTTGCTGAGGGTTGTGGAGCCTCCAGCTTTGGAGCTATTCAGAATCCAACTGGACACAGCCCTGGTCACCCTGCTTCATCTCCAGAATCACCATTCTGTGATTCTGTAACTTGAACAGGTGGTGAATGTTGTTGAATGGCACCTGTAGAAACATGATAGGATTCTATAACTCCACAAAATGGTTTGGGTTGGAAGAGCCCTTCAAGGTTCACCTTAGAGCCTTTCCTCTTTAAAAAGTGCTGTGAAATATTAAATAAACAGAAAAGTGTCAGTGGTTCCCAAGTGGGAGGAAAGTTTAAATGGTTAGTGGTGTCTAAAAAGCTTCCCAGAGCTTTTTTACTTACATTTACTTACATGAGTGGCTTGAGCAATTCCTCTCACGACATTAAAAGGACTTTGGCTGCTGAATTTGTGCAGGTAAATTTAGATACCAACAGTGAACCCCTCTGCATCTGAGAAAGTCATCCTGAAGAGCCCTTTGCAGTTAATGAGAGTCAATAGCAGCCAGTGAAATTTAGGTCAATGTGGAGCTGATTACTTTATTCAAATGATCCCCACCCTAAAAACCATAAAAATCTTTGGCTGTATTGATTAGATCTGTAATTACTGTAATAGGAGCCTGGAGCTTGGGAGTCATTCTACTCAGATGGAGGTGCTTACACCTCAAATTAGCTGGGATGAATGTCATCTTCAGAAGGTACCCTTCCCATGAGAGTGTTTCTATTGCCTCTTGGAGGTGTTTATGTCAATACAATGCAGAAACCTTCATCTCTGCTTTGTATCTGCAGCACATCACATAATGGACATCTGGTTTCAAAATATTATCTGAACAACCTTATTATGCAGTTTAAAAATTAACATAAATGAAAATATTTTCTTGTCTTTATTTGGCTGTCTGGTGTCTGTTCATGGTCTATTTTAGCACCTTGTGGGTTTGCAGTAAAGCATAATTAAAACAGTGTTTCTAAGGCTTTCACCTGTATTAAAAAAATTAGAAAAAAGAAAAGAAGTTGTTGTCATTTATGTCTTTAGTAATAATAACAACAAACGAGTTTTTCATTCCTTTCCTCATCCTGGATAACAAGTTCAACTAGATTTTCTTACACTGCATGTGTACACATAGTCACTGAGGAAGCAGAGGTAGAATAAACACAAACACTACAAAAGCCTGCTGATATATTTCATATATTTTCCTACAAAAGCACAGGTCTGTTTCATAGGTGGTGAGTGCAAAAATATAATCTGTGTAATCTCAGAAGTGCAAACTCCTGATCTTGGAGGTGCTATCCTGCTGCTGATGTCTTTCTAAAAAGTTTCTTTTACAGTAATTCGAGAGAAACAGACTCTTTCATCAAAAATTACCTTTTTTTTTATTCCATTAACTGTCTACATGAATAGTGTAAACATTTTATCATTTAGATCTATATGGTTTTGATCTCTAATTAGACATCTACAAGTTATAATGAGTTGTTCCTAGTCAGAGGAAATGCCTGAGGTTTTAATTTTTTCATTGCATGGAAAAATGGGAAACAATACAATTTCTCAGCAGTATTCTGTCCAACAAAGTGCACCAGTGTCACTCTCTGTCTTCTATTCCTTGTCCATTTTTCAGAAAAATATATTTTTGAAATGAAATACACTTTTCTTTAGGTACAGGAACTGCTGGCATTGAAGAGGACACAAAATCTACTCTTTCATTGCTGTAGCAGGTTATATGCTGTATCTTCTTGATGAATTTGTTTTTTCTCTATTCTCACTCATAGAACAACAGAACCATGGAGAAGTCTGGGTTGGAAGGAAACTTAAAGTTCAACTCTTTCCAACCCCTCTGCCATGGGCAGGGAATCTTTCCCTAGACCAGGTTATTCACAGCCCCTTCCAGCCTGGTTTTGAACATCTGCAGGGATGAGGAGTCCACAACTTTTGTGGGTAATCTGTCCCAGTCTTCTCATCCCTTCCACTTCCACAATCACCTTACACTGGAATCAGTGAAAATACACTTTCCTGAGCTTAACCTGCTTTGTTGTTGATTGTGCCTCTTGGGAGAGGCCACCCTTTCCATCAGTGACACTTCTGCACCAGAAATTCTCTGGGGATCCTGTGAATGCTCACCAGCTCTTCTTGGTTTTACAGAGCCTGTGGTCACCCTGGGAAGTGGAATGGATCCTCAAGGCATTGCACATTCAGGCCCCACATCTGTGTCTGCATTACTGATCACGTCGTGTTAAACCTGCTATAAACAGCAAGCACTAATTGTATGAAAGAAAAGCTAAGTTTTATACTGTGTGTTGGTGTCATTGTGAATAATTTGGCCTATATTTCCCCCCTTCATCATAGGCATGTCTTACCTCATGTTACAGATTTTAATTATGTCCCCTCTGTCTGGGGAATTCTATTTCTTTGCCTCCAGATTTGCTATACGATGTGCTGTAAAATAAGTAGCTGTTAATTCATCTTTACTGTTTGTGTTTTTAACATGCTCCTGGTCTCCAATTCTGCTCATTTAAAACTGTAAAAGTCAAGATGTTTGTCTGGTTTGTTTTTATTTTATTATTATTTTTCATTACTGGTTTTGTATGTTTAAAAATTAATTTAGCTCAGATTCCCCTACTGTGCACTGCTGCTTTAGAATTTGCTCTGCTGGATCTGAGCTAAGCACTTCCACAATTACATGTGCCACTTACAACACATCAATTAGATGCTTATTTGATCCCACTGTATGCACAGAACATCATATTTATTCATGGGAAACATCAGTGAAAGAGCAGGACAAATAAATAAAATATACTATTACGATATTTTGGCGGCCATTAAAAAAAAACAAGCAAGATATCTCATGAAGAATGCAAAATCTTGATTTAGACTTCATTTAATAGGTTTCAATGCAACCAACATTTGTGATTTTGTTCCATTTTCCTCCACAGTGTTTTCTCCTGACAACATGACTGAAAGTGCCATATAAATTAATCTTTAAATGTGTTGTGCATCATAAACACAGTTTTCCTTATATATTTGTTAATCTTTAGGAAAAGTAAAATCTTTTAGCAAAAATATTTCTTACCAGAAAAAAAAAAAAATAAATTTACCTGTATATGTAATGGGGCTTTGGGTACTGTGGAGTTTTAGAAAAGAACAATAAATATTAAACTGGATCCTCACCTGCACTGATTTCAGTTACATACTCCCTTTCCAAAGAGCTGACACAGTCTTTCATCAGTAAAGGTTGAGCATAGAAAATGCTCAGAGAAATCTTGCAGATGTTTAAGCTCATTCAGGGTAAAAACTGTGAAACTTCTTAGATATGTAAAATCTACCTAACTGGATTGGTATATGTTACATTAAATATTCATTAATTGCTATTAAGAAAAGCTAATGAATAGTGATATCCTTCTTCTTTTTCTCCAGCCAAAGTTCGTGCTGGCATGAAATTAAAAATTATGACACCTAGGGCTTTACCTTACTACAGAGAGTTTACTTCTGAAATAGAACTCCCTTCTTCTCTCCACCACAAACTGCACACTGCCTCCATCAGCACATTTGGCAAATCCTGCAGAGATAAAAATAATTTTCATCCAGTCAGTGAGAGCTGAAATGAACCCAGCTCATAGCTGATTGCAAGCAAATATTTTGAGAGCTTTGAGCTGCCTTTGAACAAGGGATCCAGGACAAACAATCCTTGTCCAGTCACTAATCCCACTCATTAGGAGCTCAGTGATTACCCCATTAGTATGACTGAGCTTTCCCTGAGCCAGCTCACACAGCAGATCATTTGGCATCGATGACCCAGGTAAAGAATTTCTCTGCTGAAACTACAGAGGTTGCCTGGCTTCAAGCAAGGAGGAAATCATGTGGCAGCTAAGACGGGCTGTTGTGTAGTACAGACTTGGTTATAATGGTAAATGTCATTAAAAAACCCAAAACATTTCATGGGGTCATTATAAAACAGCATATTCTTGATAAATCATAGAATTAGAAAATGGTTTTGTTTGGCAAGGACCTTTAAGGATTGTGTAGTCCAAGTCCCTGCCACAGGGACCTTCCTCTAAACCAGGTTGCTCCAAGCCCTGTCCCATGTCCCAACCTGGCCTTGAACACTTCCAGGGATGGGGCAGCCACAGCTTCTCTGGGCAACCTCTACCAGAGCCTCACCATCCTCACTATAAACAATTTCTTCCTTATGTCTAATCTAAATCTACCCTCTCCTGGTTTAAAACCATTGCCTCCTGTCCTGTCACAACACACTCTGGTGAAAAGAATCTCTGAAAGGAATCTCTGTCCTTCTTATAAGTTCCCTTTAGATACTGAAATGGTGCAATAAGGTCTGTGCAGAGCCTTCTCCTGCCCAGGCTGAGCAGTGGGACACCAGCAGCAGCCAGAGGAGAGGAGTGAAAATGTGTGAGAGGAGCAATTCTGCAGACACCCAGGTCAGTGAGGAAGGAGGGGCAGGAGCTGTTCCAGGTGCTGGAGCAGAGATTCCCCTGCAGCCCGGGGTGCAGCCCATAGTGAGGCAGCTGAGCTCCTGCAGCTCCTGGCGGGACCTGTGACCCTGTGGAGAGAGGAGCCCACGCTGCAGCAGGTTTGATTGTCCCCACAAGCACCCCAAAAGGGCTCAGCTTGTTCCTGAAGGACTGTCCCCCCTGGAGGGGACCACACTGGAGAAGTTTGTGAAGAAGTGAAGCCCATGGGAAGGATTCACAATGGAGAAGTTCCTGGAAAACTGTCCCATGTGGAAGGGAACCCACACTGGAGCAGGGGAGGAATGTGAGGAATCCTCCCCCTGAGGAAGGAGGTTCAGCAGAGATGGGTGATAAAGCGACTGCACAAGCCCCATTGCCTGTCCCTCTGCCCCCTGAGGGGGAGCAGACAGAGGACTGAGGAGTAAAGTCAAACTCAGGGAGAAGAAGGGAATGGGGGGAAGATGTTTTAAAGCTTTGGTTCATATCTTATCATCCTGCTCTGATTTCATTAGTAACAGATTAAACTAATTTCCCCAAGTGCAGTGTTTTGCCCACGACAGTAACTGCTGAGTGATCTCAGCTGATGGGTACAGGACCTTGCTCTTGGCCTGGTTTAGCTTCACACAGTTCACATTTCCCAAGCCTGTCAAAGTCCCCCTGCCCAGCATCCTTTCCTTCTCATTTATCAGCTTCACACCCCTGCAGAAGACCTGTTGTCTGTGTCATTTACAATGATATTAATTCATGCTGGCTCCAGTATGGACACAACTCGTTACCAATCTCCATTGGGAGAAAATACAGGCACAGTTTCTTTTTCTTTACAATATCTTTGGCAGAGACATGGAGCTCAAAGATTTCCAGCAGCAGGCACTTCAGTTTGGCAGATCCTGCAAACCACCTTGGTGTAGAGGGTTAATTGGTAACAAATAGGTGAGAATAAGATATGACAAGGGAAAATTCTAATGAAACCTCTTTGCAAAGGCATTATGAGGAGTGAGAGCATGCTGGCAACAGCGGAAGAGAAGTTAAAAAGATCATGACAAAATCAATTAAAAAGAGGCACATCAGAGGCATAGTGAGCCAAGTACCCAGTTCAATTATTAAGTTGTCAGGTCCTCTTAGTCTGGAGTGGAATAGGAAACAGTTTTTCCTCTGGTGCCTTAAGAACAAATGTGAACATGAGGAAAGAAACCTGTTTGGGTGCCTCGTGCTGCTGCTGACAAGCCATGCAGGAGTCGGAAATTTCTCAGACCTGAGACCTTTAAAAATTACTGTGTGCCAAAACTGAGTCCACATCAGGAGATAGTTCTCAAAACTGATAGTGTTGCACATACCATCAACTCTTCAACAGTTTCTTGACCTTTTCTCCCCTTTTATGACACGTGAAAAAATTTTACTGTTTATACAATTCCAGGAGTCAGACTTTGATGATCCTTGTAGGTCCCTTCCAACTCAGGTTATTCTATGATTCTGTGAAATCTGCTGTGCTGGGAAAACAGATGCTTGAACTAAGCAGGAAGAAGCCTTGAGGAGCCTTCTGTGCTTTCATCAGAACAAGGTAGGGCATGAGGACAATTCTACTGCCTCAGCTCAATGCAACACATCACTGGATATTCTGTCTCCAGCACTGGCAAAGACAAGTAACAGGAGACAGAAAAAGTACCTTCAATCTTTTCTCCTTAATAATCTCACAGTCTTCAATCCTAATTTTTCCACTGAGGGGATTTCCTGGTGATAATGTGGCTTGAAAACAAGTTTCAAAGATCTACTAACAACAGAGAAAAAAAAAAAATTCCCAAAATCCCAGGGTTTGCTTTTGATGTTTATTTTTTTTCTCATTTAATTTGGCTCCTACTGCTATAATTTTTTTATATCCATTATAATATTTTATATCCATTTTTTTCTTCCATTGACAAAAGGTGTTGACAGTCTGTCTCAATAAACTCTTTCTACCTCATCACCATTTCATAGCCTGTTAAACAGAGGATATAAACCCCAAAGAAAGAATATTTAGATTAGATATTAGGAAGAAATTATTAATTATAAGGGTGGTGAGACCGTGGCACAGGCTGCCCAGAGAAGCTGTGGCTGCCCCATCCCTGGAAGCATCCAAGGCCAGGTTGGAGCAATCTGGTCTAGTGGAAAGTGTCCCTACCCATGGCAGGGGTTTGGAACAAGATGATCTTTAAGGTTCCTTCCAACCCAAACCACTCTCTGATTTTATGATGACTTTTAGACAGCCCCATCCAGCTGAAAGGAGTTCCATCTTTATCCTAAGCTTTTCTGTGCTAGCAGGGGACCTGTTGTCTCCTCTACATGGTGCATTTTGATCCAAAGCCAACTGAACTTATTGGACATGTCAAGCATTTTATTTTGTTCTTTCACCTATTTTTAAAATTTCTTAGGGAAAAATGAGAGAAAGTCACAAAACTGAAAATGCAGTGATTGACACATTTCTACACTTTAGCATTTCACGCCTCTAAGAGCGGACGGAGTGAAAGCGAAGAGCGATGGAGCAGGTCAGCAGATCACTCTCTAACAACTTATTAATCTGCAGCTCTGTCAGTCCAAGGGGACTTGAAGCACTGAAAGTGGCTGCAATTCATCCATTTAGTTTAAGTGCGTTAACCCACATAATGAGGAGCAGTCTCTTCCAAGGCAGCAGCCCAGAGCATATTAATGATGCTTCACATGGAGTCTGGGCTGTGCTTCTCATGTGCTCACTCATTACAGGCTTCCACACCGTGGAGCTGAGCTGAACCTAATTAGACCACAAAGAAATATGGTTATAATTGGTCTGGGGCAGCTCAGTAATATGTAATAGGGAAATTTAATTGGCTTCTTCTTTGTTTTAGTAGTTCTAGAATTTATCGTTTTCTTTGGAGATTGGGCCAACTCCACCTCACCTTGCCATGGAAAGCAGATGAATAAAAATATGATGATGATTAGTAATTTGGTTGTTGATTATACACCAAGAAATTCACAATAAAAGACAGGGATTCTTCATCCTTGGATGCTGTCAGTAACTGGAATATCAGGTTTAAAGGGTATCAGATTTAGAAAAT